TGTACTGGTAAATACAGTTATACACAACACCTTACATGTGTACTGTATGTACTGGTATATTACATCACATTTCATTTAGCTAACGCTTTTATCCAAAGCGACTCACAATAAGTTCCTCAACCATGAGAGAACAAACCCAGAACAACAAAAATCAAGTCAGAACATTAGCTTCAAAAAAGGTAAACGACAAAGTGCTCCATCATTAGACATCATCTTCATCACCAAAGTGTAGTCTGAAGAGAGGTTAGGATGGACCATGTCCTGGATGTAGACTGGACCCGATCTGTTCATGGCACGGTACAAGTACTAGTGTTTTGAAAAGGATGCTGGCAACCACTGGTAACCAGTGAAGGGAACGGAGGAGTGTTAGTGAACTTAGGTTGAAGACCAGTCGAGCTGCTGCGTTCTGGATGAGCTGCAGCAGTCAGATACATTAGCAGATAGACCAGCCGGGAGGGAGGTGCAGTAGTCTAGGTGTGAGATAACCAGAACCAGAGCCTGCACCACCTTCTGAGAGAGAACGAGACGTATTCTCCTAATGTTGTGCAGCATGTATATACAGTATATACAACACCTTACATGTGTACTGTATGTACTGGTACAGTTATATACATGTATTTTATCTCTGCAGGTGGGGGATCATAAGTTCAGCGCTCATCGGATCGTTCTCGCCGCCTCCATCCCGTACTTCCATGCCATGTTCACCAACGACATGGTGGAGTGTAAACAGGATGAGATCCTGATGCAGGGCATGGACCCCAGGTAACGTGACTAGCACAAGTACTTCCTGTCTGTAGAGGAACCCACTGACAGCACGGGGAACCACACACCAGTTTGAAACCAGTGTGACACCCGTCTAACCGCTTCCTCTCTCCCTGCAGTGCTCTGGAGGCTCTGATCAACTTTGCATACAGCGGCCACGTCGCGATCGACCAGCAGAACGTTCAGTCTCTTCTGATTGGCTCGAGTTTCCTGCAGCTGCAGAATGTTAAAGATGCCTGCTGCTCCTTCCTCCAGGAGAGGTCAGTCAATGGAGAAACTCTCAAACTGAGTCGAAGTCCAACAGTTTGGTTTTTACATGTGTACATGTTCAGAATTAATTCTAAAATTTAACGTGTAGTATGTTTTACAGTCACATTTACTTCATCAGCTGAAGCTTTCTGAAATGACAGCAGGTACAACAAACGTTTTGTAATTGTTGATGAATGTTTAATCACGTGATCTTTGTTTCCAGGCTCAGCGACCAAAGTTAAACTGTGTCCTTCTTTTATTTCATTTCTTCTCAACAGGCAAACGCTTGCACAACATTCTGTTTCTACATGTGTGACATGTAAATGTTTCCTGCTCTTTGGCGTTCAGGTTACATCCGAAGAACTGTCTGGGTGTCCGTCAGTTCGCAGAGACCATGATGTGTACGACTCTGTACGACTCGGCCAGCAGCTTCCTCCACCAGCACTTTGTGGACGTTTCTTTATCAGACGAGTTTCTGGCTCTGAGGACGGAAGAGGTGCTGGAGCTGGTCGGCTGCGATGAACTCAACGTTAAAGCTGAAGAGCAGGTGAGAGGTGTCACCTGAGACCGTCAGGTGTGTGAGGCTGAGTGTGTTACATGTGCAGGTGTGTGAGGCTGAGTGTGT